GGCTGCGTTCAGCAGACTCAACTAGAGAACCTCTAGTAGAGAGAAGGTTGCTTTCCATCTACGACACAGCAATCACCTCATCTTTATTTAACATTAGCGAACGACAAGGATGCAACGATTGCCGTGTCACACCGTGTCACTTCTGTGTCTCTTGTTGGATAATAATTTTATGCGTAGATATTATTTTTTACATTAAAATAATCCAGATGACTTATGAACGTACTTCTTATATCGTACATATATTTAAAATGTAAATATTCTAAAGCGTCAACCGAAAATTAGCAACCATAACCAAGAGTGTTCGACTATGCTTTTCTGCTGTGTCGAATCGTGTCGTGGCGCGTCGTTGTTGGAAAGCACCGCGTTCGACACTGTGTCGATGTGTGTCGCCTAAAAGCATTGATGGAAAGCAGCCAGAATCGCCAACTTGGTTACGTGACCAATTACGTGATTGGCTGGAGGAAATGAGCAGATTTGGGCATCTCGACACCAATGTATGACGTCACAACACATGGCGGCCCTATCGTTTGCGATGAAATATTTACGTCCCGATTATGGTCTGGGGTCCGGAAACGCCGTCGGGGTACACGAACACGAAGAGCTGCCACTGCTGGGGTCAGTTTGCCACGCTCTAAATCTCGTCGTATAAAGTTAGTGATCGTTGATCGACTCTAGTTGATCGTGTTAGTAATTATGTTTTAAAATATTATTTAAATTTGTTATAAATTTGACGAAATATTAAAGTATTTATTGGCAAAAATCATAAGCAAACTTTTATTACATAAGAGATGTACATACATACATTTAGGTATTGAAGTTTGTGTCTAGAGTCGATCAACGATCACTAACCTTATTCGACGAGATTTAGAGCGTGGCAGACTGACCCCAGCAGTGGCAGTCTTCGTGTTCGTGTATCCCGACGGCGTTCCCGTCACTGGACCATTTAATCGAGAAGTAAATATTTCATCGCGAATGATGGGGCCGCCATGTGTTCTGACGTAATGCATTGGCGTCGAGATGCCCAAATCTGCTCATTTCCGCCAGCCAATCACGTAATTGGTCACGTGACCAAGTTGGCGATTCTCTCTACTAGAGGTTCTCTAGACTCAACGGTTTTGTAACCGTTCTATGATTTGTCTCGCTGATTGAATTATACTTTTAGATCTAAAGGAATAGTCCTATCTCAGCGAAGAATCATAAAACAGTTGTAAAACTGTTGAATTTGCTGAAAGCGACCATTGGGCGAGTTCAAGACGACAAAGCGGCTAGGTACGCTTGCCGAGCGATCGAGTATGATTGGTTGGATCTATAAGTAATAATCAATTATACTCAATCGCTCGGCAAGCATATCTAGCCGCTTTGCCGTCTAGAACTCGCCCATTTTGACGCGACATTTCCGAAATGATTTGCGAACTTTGTAAATCTAGTGACTTTGTATCTTGAGTTTGTGTTCAAATTCTAAATTGATAAATATTAAGAGGAGCCCTCTCCATCTCAAATGTTAATATAAATACACTTGAATCGATGTATTTTTGGAACGAAAAACTCTTGCATAAAAAAGCGTCTCTCTGCGTCACGAATTGAGATATTAGCCTTAAAGTTGATGACTATTGAGGTTAAAGGTATCAATGATACACATACACACACACATTACAAGTTATTCTCTGATCTAAAACAAATCCTCTGCTTTAGAAACAATTCACTACTTTAGAAAACAAATTTATTACTTTAAGGACAAATTCACAACGTTAAAAATACAAATTCACTGCTTTAAAAAGACTAAATTTACTACTTCAAGAACAAATTATTTCCTTTATTATTTTTTATGTTGAAAGCAACAAATTTGTTTTTAAAGTAATGAATTTGTGTTTGAGAGTAGAGAATATAGAAAAAATAAAAAGGGACCGCAGCGCAATGCTCGCATCGCAATATTTTGTGACTGTGACAGATTTCCTAACCTGAATAATCGTCATCTTTAATTTAATTCTTTCTATTCATCTGTATGTCAATGTGTAATACTCTGTTTTCATTATGCTCTTTAATCATCTTAATTTAAAATATTTCTTTTCACAAAGCAGAGCGACACTCTTGTAGATTCTTCATTTTTACAAGAAAACTCATTGATTCAGTATATTTTTATCAAAATTTGAGATAGAGGCGGATCTTCTTCACATTTACCTGCAAATTTACTGCCAGTGCTGAAAATGCTAGTTTACGTTACGTTAACTATAGATTGACAGTAAAAACAATCAATTTTTACACATAGCCTACATTGATGAAAAGTTTACAAGTCTACTTAATCACTGTAAATAAATGACTAATTACATGGATAAGTTTCGCTAATGAATATATTTATCAGTCTCTAATTACGCATTAATGATTACCAAATTTAAAATGATTCATAATCTCTTGGTAATTACGTCACTATTGTTCTTTTATTTCTTTCGAAGTGCAGAGATCAATATAAAGCCCAAGACACAATTGACACAATGCGAAGGAATAGCGATAGCGATAAGTTTCAACCTATCAAAAATGTGTATTCCGGTGTATTCGATTTCTGATAAGTTGAAACTTATCGCTATCGCTATTCCTTCGCATTGTGTCTTGGGCTTAACTATTGTCATCTCGTGATAATGGAAAGCGATTGTGAAAGATATACAGTTTTGCAGTCATGGCCAATGCATAAGAGCGAATGTAATAGAGCGACAATAAAAGAGAGATATTTGTTTTAGATATTTATTTTATAAGACCGTCTAAATTACCGTGTTGAGTATGAATAATTTTATAGTGTATATTAAAATTGTTTATCTCTTTTAGTCATACAATTGTGAGTTAAGATAAGGCAAGATTCTTTTGTTTAAAAGAAATTATGGATATCTTTGTAAAATTGAACGAGCAAACAGCAGGAAGGGACAAAATAATAAGGTGCGTCACAATATGTAATAATAAAATCCTTTGTTTCTTTTTATTTATCTGTATGTCAATGTGTAATACTCTCTGTTTACATTATCTCTTTAATCATCTTAATTTAAAACTAATACATCTTTCTTTATGTCTAAACATTGAATAGTTTTTGTTTGTAATAATTCTTCAACTTTAGTTCTCCCAGAAACTAAAAATCGATTTTTCCTTTCATGCCAAATTTTTTCACTTAGATAAGTTGCAGATAACTTTATCCATATGATATCTTCATTGTTCTTCGTCATATTCTGAGGAAGGTATCTCCTGGATAAAAGTTATATCAAAAAGTGAAAAAATTGGGTATTATTTATGAAAAATTAAAGAAGGAAGATGTCATTTATATATTATTATAACTGGACTTGGTTAGAAGGAGTAGGAATGAGTGCATGTGTGAAACGAGTAAAGGACCGAATTTTAGGTGATGAGAGGAAATAAGACTAATGAGAGGTTTAAGAGGTGGTTAAATAGTAAACTCAGGATAAGGTTTATACGTGAAAATAAAGGCATAAATAGGAGGTAAACAATAATATTATATGAAAGGCTTTTGAATGAAATTGCAGTTGAGGTTAAATAGTGGATATGACGAGTCTAGAAGTCAATAGGTGCATCCAGAAGCACAACTGCTCACGGAGCGTTCAGTGAGCTCTTGTATCTGTTTGGTTTATATTTTTAGATCTAATGGAATATGTCAATCAGATAAAAAAGCTCACTGAGCGCTCAATGAGCGGTCGTGCTTCTGGATGCACCCAATATAGCCGGTATTGGTAAAATAGGAAAGGATAAAAGACATAATAAATAGGTGATTAGAAAAAACGGAAACAATAGGAAATGAGAGTAAAGATAAGAATAGAATAAGAGCGGTAATATGAGATAGGGTAAATGAAGATTAATAATGAAAATATGGAATAGTTAAGCGTTAGAAAAGAAATTTAGGACCAAGTGGATAAGAAGATAACAAGAGAACATGGTTGGAAAGCAATGTAGAAAAAGAAAAAGGCAGGAGATATTTCATATCTCCAAAGGAGTGATGTACTGGTTGATACGGAAGAAAGAAGAGAAAAGCAATAGGAAATGATGCCATATACACAGAAGAGGAAGTAGGGGTAAATATAAGAAGTGCAGGAAAGGATCAAGGATGAAACAGTAATGTAAATATAAAGGATAAAAGAATAAAGGACGAAGAAGACACGATCCCCTGAATATGGAAAGAATGTCATAAGGGTATCATTATATGGAGGAGACTACGAGGAGAGAATTGTATCGTAGAAAATATCCCTCCTGTGTACGGTATATAAAGTATTAATTAAAGGTGCCAGTTCGAAGTGAACATACATAAAGTGTATGTAACTTTCGGCCGATTTTTGAATCGCCTCCGCCTTCCGTTGTCCTCTTCACTTCACCGCGTAGATCAAATGTCGCTTGAGCAGCATTTGGACCATATGCGGTGTGATGAGGAGGAAAACGGAAGGCGGAGGCGATTAAAAAATCGACCGAAAGTTACATACACTTTATGTATGTTCACTTTGTACTGGCACCTTTAATTAATAATATATCAGTTACTTTTCATGGTAATATATTATTATTATTATTAGATAAAAAGGTTTACATTTTTGAATATCCTTTTTTGAACATGGCTTGAACTTTTAATTTTTATATGATTTTTTTCGGATATCATTTACTTTTTAGAGTACAAATACATCACAAATATATAAAAAATATTTAAAAATATTATATAACGAAAGAGAGTGAAATACGACAAAAGAGAGAGGTATTGGGGGAGAGGGAGGGGAGGGGGAGGAGGTGTGGTGGGTCGGCGTTGGTGGAGGTGTGAACGAAAGATGAGAGAGGATGTTAAAAGGTTATAATAACGAAAGAGAGTGAAATATGACGAAAGAGAGGGGATGGGGGTGGGTGGTTGGGGAGGGGTGCGGTGGGTCGAAGATGGTGGAGGTGTAAGTGAAAGGGGATGTTAAAAAGTTATAATTTCCGACGGACGGACGGACAGAGAAGGAGACGCTTCTTAATTTTTCATTAAAATCATCACTTTTCGACCGCTTATATCTCCAGAACGGCTTGACCGATTAAAAATTTTTTTAGTTCAAATTACTCGTGCCGATGCCGCCCTTTTAGGACATATAACGTTCGATTCAAAATTTTTTATATTTTAGAAGTTATGCATCCCACAAAAATGGACTTTAGTGGCTCGGGATAAGAGACTTGTAGTGTTTATTATTAATCTTTTAAATTGAAATTAACTAGTAATTTTTTCATGGCTGGAGACACTACCGCGTTTCCTGATAAGGCAGAGGCAAGAAGAAAAATAGTTAAGAAAAAAAGGTAGATGTATTTATAAGAATTGGACCAGGAAAACGAAGTTCAGATAAGGAAAAGCAACGAGTGATAATAACTTTGGAATAAGGTACTTAACGTAAAGAAAAAGAAGGAAAATGGGAACAGGAGGAAGGAAAGTTTGTAGACCGTTTTGTGATATAAGATGGCGTGAGATACAAGTTATGAGTGGCAAGTTATGGAACATTCTAAGGAAATTCGAATAAGAAGGACGAAGCACAAGGAATGGAGAGGAAGACGAGATGAAGGCAAGCACACGAAGAACTTCTGGACAAGAAAATGCATGAGGCAGGAGAGCATCAAATGTAGATTTAGTTTTAAATATAGGTATGAATATAGATTTTAGTTACGAATTTAAAAAAGGAAGAAAAGCTACGAGGAATAAAATAAGAATTGAAAGGGATAGAATTATGAGGCAAGGTAATGAGTAAGGAATATACAGGAAGGCTAGAGATGAAATTCTGTGCAAGTAGTTAGGTGAAGTAAATTAATAAAGAAAGCGTGAGAAAAAGTTATATGTGGATAAGTTGATTGATTGATTGAGCGAGATGTAAGATTATGAGTTGAAAATACAAGACTAGTAAAGAAATTTTTAATTAGTTGACGAGGAGACGAAAATCGGGACACCGGTAGGATGAAATATATGAAGTAAATAATAATAGATCAAGAAAGTAATAGGTAAGAGAGAAAAGATTTTAAAGTATAATTCTAATAGATGAGTGAAGGCTAGTTGAGTAAAGAAAAGAACAAAGAAAAGAGGAAATAAACGCGAGAGTAAGATATGGATGTGTGAGGATAGATTGATAAATTATAAACCAAGTCTCCTTCTTTGGCTATGGATGCTTGAGAAGGTAATAAAGTTCTTCTATATTATTATAGCTTTGGATATAATTTTTATAACTAAACATCAGTCAAACAAAATTCTATAGAAATTTATTTAAAACTACATAAAGAAAATCATATATTACTATATATGTATCTATTATATTTTAGATTACGAACAGTTTTAGATCTTCTCTCTTATTCGCGTAACTAGAACATTATATTTTTCTTTTCTCTATAGCAATTTTACCAAATTAATGTAATAATATTAGGTGTACAAATTAGTTCGGTCCGTTTTTTGTGTTAAAAATGTATTTATTTCAAAACAAAATGAATGAACAGATTAATTAAAGTATTGTCCATCGCTAACTACTACTTTTTCCCATTTCTCAGACAATTTTCGAATTCCATTTCGTAAAAATGACTCATCTTTGGAGGCGATCATCTTTTGGAAAATGGACTAATTTGTACTCCCAATACTTACAAGATAGGACACAATCTTCACTAATTGCGACGTAGCAATATTATGTCACAAATTTATATTAAGTTTTTTTATGTACTGAAGAGGAAATCTAGGGTCGAAACGTAAACGTTTTTTATTTTATTTTATAAATACATTTTATTTCACATTTATATGCTGTGTTGGCTTTTATAGACACTATATTTTACATTTAGATTTTTATTTGTTGAGCCTGTGATTAATAATTATTTTTAGAATATTATACATATTGTTACATCTCTCTCTCTCTTCGATATTCGTGCTGTGCCATCTCTGAGCGAGCTGAATGAAGCGAAGCGAGGAGCTCGTCGTCCAGAGAGATGGAACGGCACGGGCATAACAATATGTATTTAAACATTTCTATTAAGACAAAATTAAGAACTTCCAATTTATATTGAAAAAACATTGTCATTAACATTAGAGCTATAAATTGTGAAGCATTATGTTCTATTTAGCAATATTATCAGAAATATTAAGTTATTTTTCTTACAGGTTGCTTCAATATGGAAGTCGAGCGTATTGGTACTACGCACAAAATGTACATAGCACAAGGTATTCTGCAGAAATTTTGAGGAGTTTAGAATTCACTTTTAGCTCGTTTCGAAAATGTAATTAAAACTTTGCGATTTGTAGAAATAATTTTCTTTCCACAGTGCAGACAAATAAATGTCATATATGTTTTTTCCTTCTAGTACTGCGCTTTGGAAGATGCTTAGACAGCTTTTATTCAGCTCTAAAAATGATGAAATATCCTGATCCTACGGTGAGAGTAACATTAATTATGGCAAAGATGGCAAATGCTTTGTACTTACTGGCAGATCATTTTATTTGGATTGGCAGAGTAGGAATTTTACGAGTTAACTTAGAAAAATGGAATAAAGTTGCTAATAAATATTGGTTATTAACTATTGTTATGAGTTTAATAAGAGATATTTATGAGATTATCAAGATTTTAGAACATGAGAAAAATGCATTTAAACATCATACATTATCCTGTCTAAAAAATCATAGGGAAGTAATGATGGATACTGTTAAAAATGGATGTGATTTATTTATTCCGTTGACAGCGTTAGGCATTACAAAATGTACTCCAGGTACAATAGGCTTACTTGGAATAATTTCTTCATTGATTGGTTTATATACAATTGTCAACCCGCTTTATAAATTGTCTCCATCTTAGGATAAGATGTTTTGTAAATTTGTACATTTGTAAATGCGTAAGATATATATGTACATATATGTATAATTAGAAAAGAGGACGAAGGGGGAGGGGAGGAGAGGGGAAAGACATAAACACAGTTACTCACTTAAATGTCTATAGAAAACAAAAGCAATATTCTTATGTTAAAATATTATACAATTCTATAATTACTTACGATAAAGTTTATATACTGATAATGGAGAAAATATGGCTTTGTACACGATCTTTTCATTAAAAAAAAAATATATTTTACAAAATATTGTACAAATTTAACGAGTGGAAAAGTACCTTCCAATGTCATTGAGTAACAACTGTACAAAAATATGTACACAGTATACACGGAAATTAAAGACACAAGAATACAAATTTGTGAATAAATATTCAAATTCATTTATGTACTTGTACTTTCTCATTTAATAAATTCATAATAAAATGAAACGTTTACTCGTAAATAAAAACTTGAATAAGCTTGATTTATACCATCTATGCAATAGTTATTTTGTAAAAAGCAATATTATTTTACATAAAAATATTAATAACAATATCATGTTTCAGGCGTTATCTGTAAGAATAGGTGATGTTCCTTCTTGGACCAATAATTCATATTTGTTTGAGTAATACATTAAAGTAACACCCCATTTTCCACAGATCATGGACCATACTGCTGGTATGACAGTGCTTTCAGAAATTGGCTGAATGGCTACAATAATAAATCAATTTTTATGTGTTGGCAAATATTGCAAGTTGGCAAGTAATTTCCTAGTATATAATCAAGATGCAGTCACATAGAATTAAAAAAAATTAAATAATTAAAAATAAAGTAACATTATATTTAAATAAATAAATAAACCTGTGAAATATCTAAAATATTACGTATGCTTACGAATTTGATAATAAAACGTAAGAAACAGGTACCAAATCAGTGCAGTAATGCCAGTTACAGCACTTACAAAACCCACAACATTTAAATTCCGTAATGTAACTCCAGTGTGCCATTTTTCCAAAGTTTCTTTGCCTTTTACCCAATGCAAATGAAAACAGACTCCTGCTAAGGCACCTGTACATATCAATACCGAATAAATTAAAAAAATTCTTAGGGACAAGCAATAAGAAACTATTAGCAGAAAAAGATGTCGTTCAAATAACATAAATTCTCTGTTTTGTAAACACAAATTCTGTTTTAAAACGCCTTATTTTTGAGATGCTTAAATTAAAATGCTAATATTAAAAAAAGGTTTGACTTTGTATTATCATGATCTTCTCATTATATGTAGTTTCTTTGAGATAGTTAAACGTGTTGTTATAACTTTATACGTCGAACGGTAAACATTTCTTTGTGATATTAATTAATTTTATTAATTATGACACTTATATATTTGACAAATTTATTCTGATATTGACTATAACTGAGGGACCTAGAGATAAGTTCTTTGTCGGAGAGATATAGATGCTTGTCATTTTGTTAATACATAAGTATTTTATTTTCTTATTAGAATCATGAGATATCTTCGCAACTGATCATTCAATTGCTTGACGAGCATCCAGATTTCTCTGAATAATCACTCATCTTTTATTTAATTTTACTAATTTTTTAACAATACTATCTGAATCCATTTTAATGTGTTACTGTGATTTTAAATATTGTACTTTCAAAAAGAGACAAAACTCATGGCCGAAACATGTCAAGGTTTATAATGTATTATTCAATGCTTTTTATAATTTTACTAATGTTTGATTTGTATGTTAATTATTTATAATTTATATATGGTTATGATAATATACTAGTGTTGATACAATTTTTATTGATTTTAATTATAGATGCTTGATTCTTATTAGCCTTTTACCTTTTTTATTAGATTTTGAATTTCTAAGAGTCTTGTATTTATTTATAATAATGAATTCCTTGCAAAGAAAAGCAGCTCTTGTGACTGTAAATTTAATTGCAATTATTATTTTTCCACTAATTGAATTAAATTTAAATCAGAAAATTCCATTTCGCATGTTTAATTATTTACTTTTGCACCGATCTATAATCAATAATCCAATATTATTTACTTGTATCGATCTATAATCTAATTTAATCTAACCTAATCTCTTTCCGTAATCGTAACCATAAAAATATTGCAACTGTTACAGTTACGGAAGTTAAGTTACGTCCTATTTTAGATTATCCTTGAGGCTTAAAAATCTATTGTAGATCTGGGTTAACCGCAACGGATGCTCGCAATTGTGACAGATTTTCTAACCTCAATAGATGTCAATTTTAATCGGTTCGTGGGGCAGAGTGATTTTTTCTGTCAGATTCTTCCGTCGTATGCAAAAAAACGCATCAAATAAGCCTCATTTTATGAAAATTGAAAAGGAGAAAGTTAAAGTAAAATTTACCCTTACGTCAAACGAGAGGGGCAATATCACTAACCTGTTAATACTGACCAAAATCCGACATCGTGATTGCCATAAATGATGAACAAGGTAAAAAATGCAAATATACCTATTACTATACCAACCGCACTAACTAGTAGATGCAACAGAACGTCGCGTAACATTTTTACAAATTATTATTTGGATGTATAATAACAACCTTATTTATACTATTTACGTCCTATACGGACGTCGGGCAAGGGTGATAACTATTGTACCGACTGAGTGTTTGTCACACCAATTAATTTTGAATCGTTAATATATAGTTACAAATCGTAATCATTATCCTTGGGTTAAGTCTTGTGTCCACGATACTAGAAATCGGTCCGAGATCTAGGATGAAGGAAAAATTGACCAATTACATTGGTCATGTGACCAAATTGTTCAAATGTGATTTGTTAATTCTTTCTTCATCCGAGATCTCGGACTGATTTCTAGCATCGTGGACACAAGGCTTTAGAGGGAAGGATTGAAAGAAATCCGTAGGCCGAGTGGAAACTTATGGGATTTTTACCTGTATAATTATTAGACATACAATAATCAATTTGCTTAGACTGTGATAAATAACTTTAAATTTCAATATAATTTAGCAATGTGAAGTATTAAAATAAAAATAATAATAGTAAAATAATAATAATAATAATAATAGTAGCAGTTTATACGTAGTTCGTGATGAATATATACCAATATATGTGTATATTTATATTTTATCTAAATGAGTAGCATATAAAAAGAATTAAAGAAAAGAGAATGCACATAAAGGTCAAATAATACAAATAACATTAAAGATATATAAAAAAAGAATTATTCTTATTTTGACTTGTTATAGAATAAGAGAGGGTAATGAATGTTGAGGCGCAGTAAATGAATAATATCAAGCACACAATTTTTAATATTACAGTATATAAGTATAAAATAACACAATATAAAAGAACAAAATTTTAGTAGATTGAAAGAATATATAATACATATGAATAACATCAGATAGTAACTATATAGTTGACAATAAAATCAGATATTTAATATTTAAACATAAAAGAATATAATTAATATGCATAAGGAATATAATTAATATGTAATGTAATCAAAGTATAATTGACAATAAAATCAGATATTTAATATTTAAACATAAAAGCATAAGGAATATAATTAATATGTAATATAATCAAAGTATAATTGACAATAAATCAGATATATATATATATATATTTAATTGATACGTGATTGGTAAAAATAAAATAATTAATATATATATTAATAGACCGGTCGAGCATTGCATCATCCGTTCGTTATCACATTTTTGTATATTATTACTTTTCTGTACGGTTTAAAATCAAAGATGTGACCTGGCCGTATCGTCCTCCTATTAAATTTTAGTTTACGATTATGATATAAGTCGAGCACGCGTGTGTTTAATGTCAAATGCTTCCGCGCGATGAGCCGCTCATTCGGCAAGGTGCAATAAATGCATTTTTGTTCAAGTCTCGGCACTGGTGGAGCACCCTGATATTTTTCTAGTGGCCTAGCTTATATTTCTTACAATATAGTTTAGAAAGCAAAAATAAAAGTTAAAGCCAGTTTTAATACGTTCTTTTCTTATCTTATTTCCTCTAATAATTTGAAATTAAATCAAAAGTAATCTTGTCTGAAATTCAGGACAATGAACAAGATTACTTTTGACTTACTTTCAAATGATTAGATTACTTATACTTTTGCTTATAAACTGGCTTTAACTTTTATTTTTGCTTTCTAAATTACTTATACTCGTTTCTCGATCTCACTCAAAGAGGTCCATCTTCCTCACAATTACCAAATTGCATTCACTGCATCTTGCCAAACGAGCAGCTCTTCGTGTGGAAACACTTAATATTAACACTTAATGTCTGAGAGACATCCATCAAAATGTCTAAAATATGTCTAATATGACGTCTGACAGACGTGTAATAAGACTACTAAAAGACAGACATAAGGTGCCTTAAAGACGCCTTAAAGACGACTTTTAGTAAATTTTTCGGACGTCCTACAGAATTTTATGACGTCTTTTAGGCGTCTTAAAGACGACTTATTGTTCACTGGGGTAATTAGTATTATTAAAACATATATATATATATATATATATATATTGCAATAAATATGTTATATCAACGTTTTCATCAGTCTGTTTAACTGATTCATTAATAATATCACATGCTTTATTTTAGATTTCTGATTGAACGAGTGAAACGTCATTAATTGATCGATGAAACTTATTACAGTAAAGAACGCTAAATACTTACTTGAGTTCAGCCTCTATCCGAGTTAGGCGGTCTTCCTCTCTCCTACAAATACAATATTCCATTGAGTTATTAAAGGTATTATTTTTTAAACTGAACTAAATTAAATTCTTATCTTCTGGTGACTGTTTTTTTTAATCAATAAGCTTGAAAAATTTGTTGTACAATATAAAACGGATGCACCTAATCTTGAATCAAAACTGTAAATTATTATATAATAATAGTTATACTAGTAAAAGCATATATCATTCAAACATACTGTTCATCTCTTTTTTCAGGTTCTCTACCAGGATATTGATTATTAGTCCTCTGATAAACGTAAGTCTCATGTTACTGCCGATTGTCAGAATTATTCTGTATGGTCCGTGTTTCCGTACTGCTAGAGAAAGTGATAAAAAGGGATAAGAGATAACTGTAAATTATTATATAATAATAGTTTACTGGTAAAAGTATATATTATTTAAACATACTTATCTCTTCTTTCAGAATGAATTTGCAAGTCTCTATCACGATCATTAGTCTTCTGACGCACATAAGTCTCATGTTGCAGAGAGTCATAATTATTCTGTACTTCCGTACTACTTCGTAATTGCTGCATTACTTGTGTAGGTTTCGCTTGTGTACAATTATTTGTAGACAATGTAATTGGCACATAATCAACAATTGTACATTGTCTGTTGTTACTTGTTCGTCGTTCGATATTTTTTTGTGTTGGCTGATTATATACATGTAAGTTTGATGTTGTATGTTCAGAATACATATTTACAAATGGATTGTCATCATTTATGTCTCCTTCCAGAATACTGCGTATTTCACTGCTTTTATCCATACTTGATGTTGCGCATGTATTCATTTGATATGTATTCGTTGAATTTTCATTCGAAGATGTCGTCTAGTAGCGGACTGGTTTGGAAATTGTTTTCTTGGGACGTTCCATCTGTCTTCTTTCTGTGAAGAAAACATCAATTTTATTTTGAAGAATTTTATTTTAAATTAAATAGACATTTGAAACCTAAAATTATTTTTAAATATGTGATATATTATATATAGTAACGTATAAATAAATAAAAATAATTACATAAATAACGCTTGTTATGTTGTAAAAACAAAAATAATAATGATGTCAAATTACGGTATTAAAACAAGCAATATAAAAACAGATGACAAAATTCATCATCTGTTTTTATATTTGCTTGTTTTAATACCGTAATTTGACATCATTATTATTTTTTTATACGTAGTAACGATTTAATAATTTAATCAGAATTTTGTTTATGAATACTTACATTTTAATTGCACTTTATGGTAGTTGTATTTTCTTGTCAAAGTAATGAGAATCTTGTTATAGATAATATTAAGACGCCTGGGGTGGCCGACACGGCGCGCGGGGGATATTCGCATACGCACGGCAAATGGACAGATAGCGGAAGTAAAAGAGGAGGTAAAAATACCTCTAATACTCGAGGGTACTATTACAATTGTAGATGCAATGTAACCATGGAACAATAGTTATAGATTTAATAGAATAGTCAGTAAAATGAAAACTATTCAAAGTTTTTAATTATTTCGATAGAAAGTACCCAGTGAACAGTAAGTCGTTTTTAAGACGTCTAAAAGACGTCATAAAATTCTGTAGGACGTCCGAAAAATTTACTAAAAGTCGTCTTTAAGGCGTTTTATGTCTGTCTTTTAGTAGTCTTATTACACGTCTGTCAGACATCATATTAGACATTTTGATGGATGTCTCTCAGACATTCCTTATAATGGTCTATAAGACGTCTTTGAGACATTCTACAATGTCATTGTTCAGACATTTTTCAGATTAATTTTGGACATTACGATTTTTCTGGATTAAATTAGGTTATATTGACAGAGTTTCGATATACACACACACACACACCGCCAGTACTATGAAAATCTAATAAGATTTTCATTAGATTTTCATAGTATTGGCGGTGTATATTGAAACTCTGCCAATATAACCTAATCCTGACCTACCGAAATTGTAATGTCCAAAAATGAGGGGGTGAATTGTATCTTGAAACAAGATGAAAATTACAAAAGTGAATACTAGAATATTAATATTTTAGTAAATTTGCTCACTTTTGTAATTTTTATCTTATTTCAAGATATACAACAATCAAAACCCTATATTATTTTACATTACGTCTAAGTTACAGGTATATAATAGAACATGGTCATTATGTAGTGTTTATAAAAGATATATAATATTCACACAATGATAATAAAAACATTAACATCCTGTTACAAGACTCGATTAGGCATTTTCACTTTCTATGATTTATAAAAGAACATTAACTTTAATAAAAAATTTTATAAGTTACAATACTTAAATAAGAGTTTTATATATATTTATTTATTTATATTTTTTACTGCATTTCCCAGTATCTGAAAAATCGGAATTTTGCATTCGGCAATGACTACACGAATTCATTTTTATCTATTTAAGCGACCGCTTTCTCCATCCATCTTCGATTGGAGAGTGTCCAGCAAATGTCGCCAACCTTCCAGTCATCATCATTTACCTCTTTTAACAATTTAATCCATTTGTCAGGAATTTCCATGGCTAAACGGTAGTCAAATCCTATACCACCTTCGGTGACAGGTCTTGAGTATTTGCGAAATATTTATGAAATTATTTATATGTATATATATATTTTTATCCGCTTCGATAATTCTTGATAATTCTTATCTGCTTTAATAAGTCTTGTACCTGCAAACACCTGGCATTCCACTAACATCTTCGGCAATTGTGACGATTTCAGAATATATTTCATGCAGCATATGGTTAGAAAGTACCCAGCCCGTATTGTAGTGTCGTGAAGGTAAGTATACTTAGTATATGATCCGCATGCGTATATTTGAACTAACTTAAG